AAAATTATAAGACATCCAACAAAAGGTAATAGAAAAACATTTTCCCTCCCCTCTTCTTATCCTTAGAATATTTTTTGGGCAATAGGTTTTGAGAAACCTCCAAACTCTCAGCCACGAGTGCACGTGTTTGAGAGTAACTGTGGAACCTTGGGGAGCGACCGACTGCAACGATTTGCACCAGAGTCGAGCCGAAATTGCTTTCAAGGCAGTGGCTTGCCATGACATAATATTTGTGATAAGTTATTTACTATTTTATAATTTCATTCTATTATCAATATTTTAGTAATTTTTCCAACAATTTGAAAGTGATTCCCTAACATACAATATTGATAATGGATATTTCTTTGAACAAAACTTTTAATGATTTGTCAAAACTTGAGCATTTGGATGAAAATTTTTTAAACGATGGTCACAAAAACTTTTAATTTCTTTTGAACAATTAGAAGTTGATTATGTTTTATTTAAAGAACCTTCTATGAATGGTTCTAACACTGCTTATGATTCTAGTAATGTTGTAACTGTTGATGATGTTGTTAAAAAGAAGTCTGAAAAGGATAACAAAATTGTTTGAGGACATTTGCTAAATCATATGACTGACCCTTTATTTGATTTATTTTAAAACTATAAATCTGCCAAAGAGATATGAGATAGTTTGGAAAAGAAATATGGTGCTGATGATGCAGGAAAGAAAAAATATGTTGCCGGCCAATGGATTAAATTACAAATGGTTGATAATAAGCCTGATAATAAGCCCATAATGGAGCAAGTTCACGAATATGAGAATTTGACTGCTTATGTTCTCAACGAGGACATGAAGATGTATGAGATATTTCAGGCTAATGTTCTGCTTGAAAAATTCCTACCATCTTGGAGTGATTATAGAAATCAATTAAAACATAAGAAAAAAGAATTTAACTCTCCAAGAATTTATTAGTCATATGAGGACTGAAGAGGCGAACCGTCTCAAAGATAAGATGGAAGAACTTTCTCTTAATTCTTCTAAAGTTAATCTTGTTGAATCTTCTGGTACTTTTGTGAAAGACAGTTTCAAAGGCAAACAGAAGAAAGTCTTAAAAAAGGAACTTATGAAGAAGAAAAATCAATTCAACAAGCCGAAAAGTCAAATTTAAAAATTTAAGGGTTCTTGTTTTGTTTGTGGAAAAGTTGGTCACAGGGCTGCCAGGTGCTATCAAAGAAAAGGAAAGACTCAAAGCAGGAAGGACAAAGTGATGTCTAAGCTTATCTTGCTGAGGGTAATGAAGTGATTGTTGTTGTAGTTGTTTAGGCAAATCTGGTGGCTAACAAGATTGACTGGGTAGTAGACACAGGCACTTCAAGGCATTTTTGTTCCAATAAAGAGTTATTCCATGACATTGAGGAGTCCACTGATGGAGAGTGTGTATACATAGGTAACTCCACTACTGCTGTAGTAATGGGTGAATGAAAAGTTTTACTTAAATTAACTTTAGGAAACACATTATTCTTTAACAATGTTTTGTATGTTCCCTCCCTCCGTAGAACTTAGTTTTCAGAGCACTTCTCAACAAAGTAGGCCTTAAACTTGTTTTTGAAGCTGATAAAATAATTATTTCTAGTGGAGGAGACTTTGTTGGGAAGGGATATCTTAGTGGAGGATTATTTGTACTGAACATTGTTCAAGAGATTGTCAATAATGGAAGTATTTTAAATTTTGCTTATATTGTTGAGTCTATCAATTTGTGGCATGGTAGACTAGGTCATATCAATATTGCTTCTATTAAAAACTTAAGAAAATGGAATTAATTCTAATGATAAAAACTGATGATTTTTCTAAATGTTATGTGTGCATAGAAGCAAAGCATGCCAAGAAACCTTTCAAATATGTTATTAGTAGAAAGACTGAATTACTTGAACTAATACATTCAGATTTAGCAGAATTCAAAAACAGTGTTAGCAGAGGTGGAAAAAAGTATTACATTACTTTTGTTGATGACTTTTCTAGATACACCAAGGTATATCTTCTTCAGTCTAAAGATGAAAATGAAAGCATGTTTTTGAAATTCAAAGCAGAAGTGGAAAATCAATTAGATAGGAAAATCAAGAGATTTAGATCTGATAGGGGTGGTGAATATAGTACTAAAACTCTAGAAGATTTTTGTGAGAAAAATGGTATTATACATGAGTTTAGTGCTCCCTATACTCCCCAAAAAAATGGTGTAGCCGAACAGAAAAATAGAACCCTTAAAGAGATAAAATCTATGCTTTTAAGCTCTGTCTATCTGATAATATGTGGGGAGGAGCAGTCTTGTCTGCATGCTATATTCTTAATAGAGTCCCGCATAAGAAGTTAGACAAGACCTCATATGAGCTGTGGAAAGGATTTGCTCCTAATTTGAAATTTTGGAAAGTGTGGGGGTGTTTGGCTAAGGTTGATCTACCTAATTTTAAATGAGTAAATGTTGGTTCTAAGACTTCTGATGCTATATTTATAGGTTATGCTCAAAATAGTGCTGCATATAGATTTATGTCTCTAAATGATTAGTCTATTTGTGAATCTAGAGATGCAGAATTTTGTGAGCATATGTTCCCTTTAAAAAATAATGTGCCGAGTGATGTGTAAAATAATAATTCTACATCTATGTTTATTGATTCCCATGTTGTACCTTTTTCTAGAGTTATTTCTAATGAACATGAAAAAGTTTTGGTCCTAAATTTATCACTACTTCCTTAACTGAAAATTATTATATTAATGTTTTAAATGATGAATTAGTGTCTATCTATTTAATAGAAGAAGATCCTAAGACTTATGATGAAGCAATGAGATCAATAGATGTTGTATTATTGAAAGAGGCTATTAAAAGTGAGTTAGACTCTATAGTTTCTAATCAGACTTCGGACTTGCATTATTTGCCTAAAAGTTGTAAACCCATAAGTAGCAAGTAGATATTTAAGAAGAAATTGAGACCTGATGGTACAATTGATAAATATAAGGCTAGACTTGTGATTATGGGTTTTAACCAAAAGAAAGGCATTGATTACTTTGATACTTATTCTCCTGTGACAAAAATAGCAATCATTAGAACTCTTATTGCTTTAGCCTCCATTCATGATTTAGTGGTACATCAAATGGATGTTAAAACTGCATTTCTAAATGGTCATTTAGAGCAAGAGATCTATATGACTCAATCCGAGGGTTTTGTGGTTCCAAGACAAGAGGATAAATTATACAAACTGAGAAAGTCATTGTATGGACTAAAACAAGCACCTAAGCAATAGTATGAAAAATTTAATATCACCATAGTGGATAATGACTTTGTTGTAAATTCATCCGATACATGTGTTTATTCTAAGATCATAGGTTCAGATTGTTTCATTATATGTTTATATACAGATGACATGTTAATCTTTGTTCCTAATGTGAATGTTATTAATGAGATTAAGAACTCTTTGTCTTCTAAATTTGAAATGAAAGATCTTGGTGAAGCAGATGTGATTTTGGGAGTTAAAATCAAATGAACTGCTAATGGTTTCTCTTTATGTCAGTCTCATTACATTGAAAAGATGTTGAAAAAGTTTGATTGTTTTGATGTAGTTCTAGTGAGGACTTCTTAT